CTTGCAATGAACAGCTGAAGAATTATGTAGAGTAGTACTTCTTGGCACTGGCTGTAGTAGCTCAAATTTTCTGAGCAAGAGGACTTACCTCCTAACTAAAATAATATTCTTATCTACATGGGTATCTGTTTTCTCAAAGTACTCTTTTAAAAGGTGAATGCCTTGATTTCTGTAAAGTGATGTTAACCTTTTTCATACTACTTGTTTTATAAAGCTTGAGTTTTGTGCATAGGGGGAACTTAAACATTCCAAAATCATATGTTTTATATCTGGATTTTACTTTAGACTAACCTCAAGAATAATTCTGTGAATGAAACAGTTGACAGTATTACAAGCATCTACTGCATTTTGCTTCTGCTCAGGCATTGATGTAAATCATATCAGCTGCAGACAGGTGAAAACAGGACTCCTAAACTAACCCTGCATTTCTTGAGCTCCAGCATAAAGTGGATGGCAGGAAACAGGAGTTCTTGGTAAGGACACTTTGCCAGTCTGTGCTCAGACTAGTAGATAAGATGTTAATAACACTTATTTTTATAATGTGATTGAATGTTAATATAATTCAGCATATGTTAATACGGTTTGTATTTCATTAAATTTAAAAATGATTGTAGTTTAATATTATCAGCAAAAACAAGTAAACACTTGCTTTCTAAGGCAGTTTCAGTCTATAGTTGACTCAATGGAGTTGACTCTATTCTAACAACATTTAGCAACTTCCCAGTCTTAAAAATTTAGAACAAGATCCTTAAATTCAGTGCCTAATGTGTGGTAATCTAATCTGAGACATAAATTGGAGGAAAGGACTGGGTAAAAGCAGCCCATTGATTTACACAAGAGCATCTGCTTGCTGAGGTCTTCAACCATATAACTATACCTTCTGAAGTTCTTTCCTTTACTAGGGGAGAAAAGGAACCCATCCAGACAACAGCTTGGAACAACTAGGCTATTCATCTTCTCCAAAGTGCCTTTTGAAAGGAGTCTTTCTCTCCATCTGTACTGAGTATGGAGGCAGCCTAGGGCCACCTACCTAAAATTCCTCTTTGTGCTGTATTTCACTTATAAATGTGTTCATTTAAATATACCAGCCACTTTAATATGCAAAATTCAAGCTACCAAGTGTTTCTTCACACTTCCAGCGTTTTGGCTTTGGTCGAGAGAAGAGAGTTTGGTATAGCAATGTAAATTAATTTAGGCAATGTTGTCTATTCCTCTTGCTGTGTCTGAATGTCAAAAACATGGCTCGGAGCCTGTGCAGCTGTACTGCTGAATATAAAAGAATGCAATTGAGTCCGAGATGCCAATAAAAAAAAAAAAAGCTGGTTGTAAGAGTGCAAATTGGGTTTAACCCAGCTGCCTGGGTTCTGACACTGTTGTATGCTTGACATGGCAGCAGGTTTGTGGGTTTAATGAGGTTCTTGGGCTGAGCAACAAGTCAAGGAACAAAAGGCATTTCAAAAATGTCTATGGAAGAATTCAAGTTGAATTAAACAGCGACTCAGGGCAGGGCTGGTACTGTGTGCACCCCACAGAAACAGGGAGAGAAAAGGGGAAACACTGACTTGCTAAGGGCACTCTGCGTGCCTAAAGCTGGCTAGAGCAGCAACCTTGCCAATGTGTGTCTTGGGCTTTCCTTTTGGACAGTTTTTTTTTTTTTTTTTTTTGGAAAGTGATACTCCGAGTCCAAGGGGCAGAAACACTGGTTTATAAGTCACGTGTGTGAGAGGCTGTGAGCGTTTGTGCATGGGCCATTGTTGGATTTTACGGCAGATGCTTTTGGATAAACATGAGGGAACACCACACCGACGAAGCCTCTCTCACTCCTCCACCACCCCAGCGAGCTGCAGCCCCAGCCGTGGCCGGACAGTATCGCTACGGGAGGCCGCGCCGTGCCCTCGGTGTTTCTTAGCTACTCTTTTTGCCCGTGGCTCCGGGCCACGCGCCGGTGAGTTTGAGACGGTGCCTGTTGCTGCCTCACGGGCGGTGGTTTAAACCCCGCGAGCGTCTGAGGGGGAGCCCTGCCCGCGGGGCGACCTGCTGGCTCTGGAGACAAGGGAAGCGCCAAAGGACCCCCGGGAAAGGCAGCGGGGACGGCCCCTTCCCTACCTGCCTTCACCGCCGTCCCGTGAGGGAGCCGAGCTCGGGGCGGGGAGAGGATCCCCGGAGGGCGCGGGTCGAGCAGGACACGTGAGGGGCGCGTTACTTGAGCGGGAAGGGCCGGGCAGGGGTCCCTGCGGTGAGGGCCGCCTTGTGGCGGCGGAGGAGGGAAGGCAGAGGCTGGGGACGGGCGGTTTGTGGGGCACTTTGTGGGGACGAT